CCCCCCCCCCGCCTGAGCCCTCCCACCATTGTCCCAAGTGGCCACCGCACCTCCACCCCCGCGCATTCTTACCTCCTGACAAGGCCACAGTCAGGGAGGCGATTACTGCAGTCAGGGACCACATGGCTCCGGGATTGGAGGGGGGAGGTAGGGCGGGCAGGGCCTGAAGAGAAGTGGAGGGTGTGTTAAGGGCCGGCCAGGAACCGTGTGTCTGGAGTCTGTCCTCTCCAGTCCTCGATCTCCCCTCCTTGCGTTCGCTCAAGGAACCCCAACCCTGAAATCTGTGCTCTCCTCCATCCTTGGTGGGGGTCCAGTAGCAAGGTGGGAGGGGCAGCATGCACCCCACTAGGGCTCTGGCTGGCAGTCCCTGCCCTGCCCTCCAGCCAACTGGTGGTCCACTCTCTTAGCCCTCTCCAACTGAGCTGATTCCCCTCTCCAATCCAATTTCCCCCTCTCACGCCTGTGCCCGACGAGGCTTAGTGTCCACCTGAGTTTCTTACCATTTTGCGCGTTTCATCTGGGCATCTCTGCAGGCTTCTCTCTCTCTCCATCTAAGCCTCTAGCTTCCCTCTGCATTACCCTGACTCAGCTGTTCTCCCCCCTTACCCCTCCCTCTCCCGGCCACCCCCACCCCAGGCGGACCCTACCTGAGTGAGGGGCCGCTTGTGGAGCTTCAGCTGCCAGCTGGTCACAACTTCAGCCCCGACCCATGGCTTTTAACCCCTGAACTCCCTCCCCCAGCTCACTCAGCATTTCCTCGTGGTTGGCCTCCCCCTCTCCACCCCCAATGGCTCAGCAGGCTGTCGCCTGGCACCCCCCAGCCTGGGCTTGGCCCTCCGCTTGGGGCGGAGCTTCCAGGACAAGCTGAGACCCAGATCTGGCCCCGCCCGAGCAGAAGTTGAACCCACTGTGAACTTTCAGAGAGCAGGACCCAATGGAGGGGATGGGAAAAGCCCATTTCCTTCCCTGCCTCTTCCTGCAGCCCCATGTTCATCCCTAACTTCAACCCATTTTCTGTCCCATTTTCTAACCTCCTATCCAGCCCTGTGTTCATTGTTGATATGCAATCAGCTCCCAGATATCCATTTCCCACCTGTCCCATCTCCCTTCCTGACCTTAACTGCACCCTTCACCACCCTCATCCTTGACCCCACTCTCATCTCCAACCTTATCCCAAGCTTATCTTCCACATCAAACCCAACACATCCAGGTTCCAATTCCCATTCTCATCTCTAGTCTTTTTTCTTTTGAAAGACACAGGGAAACCCAAATTTATTCCATGGTCTTTCCTCGTCCAACCCCAGCCGTCAGGCACAAGAAGGGAATTGTCTGTTGGGCGAATAGAAAATCAACTGCCCTTGGACTTGGGTGAGAGCAGAGCTCAGGCCTGGGAAGGCAATATTTTGGACAAATGACCTTTTAGGGGCAGGGCCAGATGGGGTGAGGGAGTCCATGGGCACGTAGGTGGACAGGGAGAAACAGGGGACCAGATTGGGTTGGGGGGAAGAGGAAGGAGGAAGGGGTGGTGTTTTGGGAATGGGTGGGTGTTTCCAGGAACTACCACTGGGTGGGGCCCTGAGTTAATCCCAGGAGGTGGAGGGGGGAGGATGACGGATTAAGAGGGATAGATAGAGGTGGGGTCAGAATTTGGAAGAAAGCCAGGGATGAGGACCAGATGAAGTGAGGATAGGGAGTAAAGATGAATGGGGTAAGGGTTCCCATCAAGACTGGTGTGGTCCAAAGCAAAGGAGTTAAGGTTTGGATGCAGGGATCAAATCTAGTGTTCAGTGGTAACTTCTACAAAATGGACTAACTTTGACTCTCTGACCTACATGAAATGGCATATGTCAAAGATTTTATTTTGACTCATCAATAAATGACAGAGCCAGTAAGATGTTACAAAGAACCGGGCTCTGTAGAAAATAAAGAATGCTGAAATGAATTTACAAATAGATGCAAAACTGGCTATTCCACACTGGGGGTAGGAAGGAAATCAATTGTACCTCCACCTGGCAAAATTTATTTGCGCAGTTGGAGCTGAAAGTGTTCAAAGTGTTTTGCATTGCTTTAGTAAATTAGCTCAAAGACCATAAAAGATGCAGAGACCCTGACTTTTCAATGAGGACACCTGTTGGGTCCATTTCAAGATCTTTCACTATTATGGTTTAATATGGGAATTAAGTGGAGTTTGTGATCAAGTTTGGATGGGTCTGATGACAGCACTGAGAATGCAATGAATTTGGGAAGGAGAATGGAAATTGGATGATGAAGGGTAAAGGGTTGGAGGCAGTGGTTGGATTGGTTTTAGGCATAGGGTCGGGTTGTAGATGGGAGACTTCTGGAGATAAGGTGGTGAATGGGGTCCTGATGGATGAGGTTGAGTTTTGGACGGAGGAGTGTTGAGCCATAGTTGATTTGGGTCTGTGGGTTGACATTGGTGTGTGAGGACGAGACATGAGGTTGGGTGCTTGTGCTGAACTGGGGTTTGGTGAGGATGGGCTAGGGTATGGCTGTGAGCTCTCAAGATGTAAGAAAGGCTACTACTGTCCTTCTTCATCCTAAACTTTCCCCACCTCACAAGGCAGAGCGTGAGTTCACCTTTATTTGAGTGGAGTTGGGTTTAGGTGGCGTGGTCAGAGGGAGGATGCCAGGTTAAGTGAGGTGACCAGGTTGTGTGGGAAGTCGGGGTACCTGTGTCCTCTTGTGGCCCGGGTCTATGCTTCCTGAGAAGCCTTTCTCACTTGTGAAGGGCTGGATCCTGGAGTAGGGGTGGTTGGCTTTGGCATTTGCTGAGGGTTAGTGCCAGGGCAACATTAACATCAGGGCTTGTGATTGGCTGGGACTCAGATTTGCTAACTCTAGGAGAAGTGAGGTCATGGACCCACCAAGGATTGGGTGCCTTCCACCCCCTCACTTGATTCACAAGGCAACAAGGAGCCTGTGGCTGAAAGCCACACAAAGTGGGCTGCTGATAGTCACACATGAACTGGACCCAATCCAAGTACACTCTCTGACAGATCAGGATTTTTTCCCCCATAGAGAGCTGGGCTGGAGAAAGAAAAAAGGACTGGAAAAAGAGACAGTGTTCCTTGTGATTCAGAGCTCAGAGTCACTCTGGAGTTAGACTGCCTGAGTTCAGATGATGTGGCTACTCTGTGCCTCAATGTCCCCATTTGTAAAATGGCACAATCACTAAGACCTAGCTTATGGACAAGAGTTAAATGAATTGGCTCAGTGCCTGTGGCTCAAGTGGCTAAGGTGCCAGCCACATACACCTAAGGTGGCAGGTTCGAATCCATCCTGGGCCGCCAAATAATAATGATGGCTGCAACCAAAAAATAGC